CACCTTCGACAACTATTTAATTCTCCACGGTTCGCCGCTTCCCTCCTCCCACCCACAACCCCGCACCCCACACCCCACACCCCACACCCCACACCCCACAAACCTGACCCAATCCCACTTCCGTGCCCACAATATCGCCACCAAAACCTCGCCCTGCAAAGGGCGACATCTTCGTTGGAAGAACGCGCGTCCTCCCCCCAGTCAGGTAGCTTGGCTCGCACACCACAGGCTCCTTGAATGTAGACCGCTGGCAAGGGGATGCTGTTTAGCTATCTGAGATCAGCAGAGACACGTGACATGACCAATATGTAGAATTTTCACGTCTTCTGTAAGCATGTTCATTCATTCACTCATTCCTTAAAGTTGGATGATCTGTATGCGGTTTTTGCGACCGCCATCGTTCGTAAAGTGAAAGGGCTGTGCTTTGCTGTTTGTAGGGAAAAGCCATCCAAGGGATGCGCGCATGTGCTCGAGCGTCGCTTCTATGCGTACATGCCCCATTTAATGCGTGTTGCGCCTGGTCATAAGAAAAATAATCATATGTAGGCAAACAACGTGGAGAGTAGGACACAGATTACCCGCAAACACAAAAGCATTCTTCTGCTACTGCTGAACAAGTCTGATTTCGTAAAAAATGCTGGGCAAGTCAGCGCAATTTAGGCGCGAGTTTGCTCGGTGAACTGGAAGCACAAACTAGATGAGAATGGATTTTATATGTATGTTGCTTCTGCACCTGTACTTATCAATATGTGAAAATGACAAAAGGGGGTCCTCTGTGACACAAGGTGGTCCTTTGCGGGCGTGCATTTGACAAAAGGGGGTCCTCTGACTGCCCCCTGTACATTAGATGCGTTGCCAGACCGTCGCTGGACCGGCGTCGTTCGGCAAGCCGGTTCTACTGTGGGCGCCCCCGAAGAGGACCACCTTTTGTCAATTTCCCTCTTGGGGGTGTTGCAGGGGTATGTGGGGTCTCCGTGATGCCATTTAAATGAACCCCTGCCTTTGGTGTATCAATTATTGGCAATTGGTCTCCATTTAAATATGTGAATGATTCATATTGAAATATATGAATGATTCATGATGAATCATTATGAGCAATGACATGATTGTATTGCCGTTTCAGAAGTCATAAAAGAGCGACTTTTGGGGCCAAATCTGAAGAGATGGCATGTCAGCCTAAAGATTTCATTCTTTCAAAATCGTTAGCTTCTCATGTCGTTTAGTTCAATCTGTGCATTTGAAAAACCTGCATGCTCACCTGCGTGGCACAAAGTGGACTTTCATTGGATTTGCATGCATGCCATTGATCCATTGCATCAAAATGGCTGCACGTTGTTTTGAGATCACAATACAATACTTTGTGTCTTTTTGGTGAGTTTCATGCCGTAAGTGCTGATTGAGACACACTGATAGGTCAGCACATGTGTCAGGAGGTGACAGAATTGCTTGACAACGATTGAAATTTGTGATTTATGGATTGCATTCGATGGGCAAGGTCGTTGGTGACTACTGCAATGCAATGAGGTGCATGCAGTGTAACGTTTTGTTAGCAAGATCGGACTTGATAGGGTCTGACAAGTCCAAAAATGGCAGCTTGGCCATTGTTTGGATTGTGGTTTTTCACAACTCAGCTGTGAAAACCGTCAGTATGGCATGGTTTCTACGCTCAACGGCCATTTTTGCAATTACATTTGCCAGTGACTTCATTTTACAAAAGAGCTCCTACAAAATCAAAGTGTTACAAATGTCCCGCATATGCCACAGCTTTTGTGTTGTAGACTTCAGCCCTCAGAAAGCTCACAAACAAACAGAACATTCAAACAAGAAATCGCACCAGAATCGCATCACAACATTTACAGTTGTGGTCAGCATCTCTGCAGCCACCTTCTCACAGCTGTCACCGGTGGTTGCATTTCAAGTAGCTGTTTAAACCCCCTAGCAAGCACACACAACTTTCACCACAGGACCTTTACAAAATTAGTAACCCTTACCCAGAGACTTCACGAAACTGTACAACACAAATCAGTGTCCATATTTTTTCCATTGTTAAGGCATTATCAGCCAACATCAGTACGGATGCCACAAACATTCTCACAGATCATTAACAACCATCCCCGGATCCCCCATAACCGTCCCACACAACTCGGTTCGCACTGACAATTACATGGTTTGCCACAGCTTTTTGCTCACTACCTGGACCTTCACCCCTCGCTTTGCTTCCCCATGGCTGCGCTCGCCATTGCCGTGTGCTCTCTGCCGCAGTTCCGATATCTACGGCTCCCTCCCGGAGCTCCGATCGCCATTTGATCTCCCGCGTAGCTCCGATTCCCCCTTGCTCTCACCACAACTCCAGCCGCCGCTTGCTCTCCCCGCAGCCCCCATCACAGCTTGGTCTCCCCCGCAGCTCCGGTCGCTACGACTCCCCTGCACAACTCCGATTTCTGCGTGCTCTCTCCAGCAGCTCGGATCGCTGCTTGGTCTCCATGGCAGCCCCAATCACCGTGACTCCCCTTCACACCCCGATCGCCGTGGCGCCCTCCCAGGGGTCGCCCCTAGTAGGACCGTGGTCTGGTCTGGCGCCAGACCGTTCCCGGTCTGGTCCCGGTCTACCAACGCGTCTAATGTACCAGGGGTGGGTGGGTGTGCGGGTTGTTCCAGAGGAACCCCTTGTGTCATTTTCCCTATACATATTGAACTGATATCTTGAAGTATCAATCTTTACATCTATATTCATATTTATAAATAGAGTTGTACATAAAGATAGTTGTATGCATATGCTTGCATGTAAAGTAACAATTACCAATGAATTAATTAACTACATAATAATGAATTAATTTACTATGTATGTAATATTTATACGTTCAGCGGGGTGTTTGAACGGTTTTCTCTGCGCCTTTGTCCACCAGTGGGTAGTGGACGCCATAAAAGGCAGATTCACGAGGGTCCGCCGCCTGCGGCTGCTCTGCTGGCGCGGCGCCGCCGACGGCGAGCTTGCCCTGCTGCAGCAGCTGCCCCACCTCACCAGCCTGGACGTCGGCTTCAGGACGCCCTCCGCCGACGGCCTGAGCCGCCTGGGCACCATGACCAACCTGACGGATATCACCCTGGACGGCCTGCCTGCCGCGAGGGAGGGCGTCGGGTTCGTGCCCTGGTGCGCCTTGCCCCTGCTGCGACGCCTGCACCTCAACGAATGCACCATCACCGACGAGGCCATGGGGGACATTGGCCAGATGACGGGTTTGAAGGAACTGACATTTTGGGACTGCGATGGGGTGGGGTCGGCCCAGCCCCTGCCCCTTGGCATGCTGACGGGCCTCAGGGCCCTGGACCTGCGGGGCTGCATGGACGTGGTGGACGACGGCCTCGTGGACGTGGCGGAGGCAAGCGGCCTCGAGACGCTCATCCTGTCGGGGTGCATCAGCATCGAGGGCGGGTGCCTGGAGCACCTGACGGGCCTGACGGGCCTGCGGCGCCTTGAGATGGAGGAGGGGTACGCGGCCAGCCTGGGGCACCTGTCGAGCCTGTCGACTCTGACGTTTCTATACCTGGGGAGCCGGAGGGCCGGCAACACGCAGCTGGGGTGCCTGTCGCCGTTGACGGCGCTCAAAGTGCTGTCCCTGGACCTGGACGTCTCCGACGAGGGCCTGGCGGCCGTGGCGAACCTGAGGTGCCTCACGCGGCTGCACGTCTCCAAATTCGACATGGTCTCGTGGATGGCGTCCGACTTCCGGGACATGGTCACGGACGACGGGCTTGCGCACCTGACAGGGCTGACGGCGCTCCGGTGCCTGGACGTGTTCGCGAGCGGGCGGGTCACGGACGGCGGGCTGGCGTCGCTGTCCGCCATCTCGGGCCTGTCGCGCCTGGTGCTGGGCCACTGCGCGTGCATCACCGATCGAGGCCTGGCGTGCTTGAAGGACTTCAGGGGAATGGAAGTCTTGAGCGTGTGCCGCGCCGAGAGTGTCACGGATGAGGGCTTGGCCCATTTGGCGGAGCTGACTTCTCTCAGGCGCCTGGATTTGGAAGGGTGCGTGGGGATCACCGACAGGGGGGTGGCGGAGCTTGGGAGGCTGACGGGCCTGGAGTACCTGGGCGTCGGGAGGATCGGCAGCATCACCGAGGGAGCCCTGCGGGCACTTCGGCAGCGGGAGGCGTTCGCGAATTTGAGGATAGGGGGGCGGGTCCCCGCCCCAGGAGCGCGGAAGCAAGGGGGGGCGGCGCCCGGCATGGGGTTCGTCCGTTGCTTGGCGCGGGATTTGTTCGTGGGAGTCTACTGTGGGATCTGTGCCGCGGCCGCATTCTCGATAGCCCGGGTTTGGTACCAGCGCAGGCGCTGAGCGTGCTCCTTTCTGTTTTCGCGGTGACGGACGCCCCGTGCCTGTTGCCTGGAGAATGGGGGGACGCCCCAAGCTGTGAAAGCAACACTGGCGCGGGAAAGTGAGCGTCGTAATGCCACGAGTTGTGACGGCTGCCAGGCATGAACGAGGTCGGAACTTGATGGAATCCATCAATCTAGGCACGGATGGTCTCCGTGCAGGCAAACTGGTGCGCCAGAGGCGCGAACCCAAATGGACCGAATCCTTGCAAGGTGCGCGACCGGCGAGAACAGCAGATTGTGCAGCTCCTCTGAGATTCTAAAGCGAAACTAATGCGATCCTAAGCCGATACTAAAGCGATTCTACTGCGATCCTCAACCGATACCAAAGCGATTCTTGAGCCATTTAAACGCTCAGGCAAAGGGCTTCGTCGGCGCGGCGACTGCGGGCCTCTCAATTTCGCACATCTGCAGGCTGGCGAGTTCTTCTGCGTTCGGTCCAGGCGAGGGGGCAATCCCTCAAATGAATAAATTAAATGAAATGTGGATCGATTCACAGCAAGTGGACGTGCGGTGGCGGTGCTGGCGGTGGGGCCAAGCGCTGGCATTGCGTCATGGGCCTCCCAGTCGGTTTATTGTGCCTGCGTCCTTGCAGTCCAATGCTGCCACGACCCATTCAGAATGGTCATCGGTACAGCTGCTTCTCCTGCGGCAGCTGCACCTCCGACTGCAGGACCTCCACGAGGTCCCTGTCCGCCTGACGACATTAAAGGCAATCGTCAGTGACTTCCATCATCATCATCATCATCTTCATCATGGATTTTTACATGATGATTTTACATAATGATTCAAAAGTGCACGAACGCTGAAAAGCTGAAATCGATGACATGACGATATTTGAGCAATATTTTCGTCAATGAACTTATGAAGTCAATGATGCAATGATTTCAAAGCTGCACAGTCGATGACAAGATGAAATTGACGACGCGACCATGCCTGAGCATTGCCGTCCTTGCCGCCAAACTCGGACAACGAACATCAACGCTGCGTTCAGCGAGCGATCTTGTGCCGCATTATCTCAACCACGCCTTTGGCGCCACACTTCACCAGGTATGGGCCATGCCCAACGACTGTAACAGTGCAGGAGGGCCTCCAGGCGCAACCCGTCCACCGAAACACGTCCGAACTATTTTCGAAGGGGACCCGAAGATGGATCAAAGAGAGGAAATCCAAAAGATGCATCAAAGAGAGGAATTCAATATGCAGTTGGGAGTCGGGGCGCCCCGCCCCCGGCCCCCACCTTCCTCTTCCTTATGCCGTTGCTCAGCTGCACCCGCAGGTTGAGCAGCTCCATGGCCCTCTTCGCCTCCCTCATGCCCGACATCAGTGCGCCTCCGACCGTGTCAGGGTGCTCCTTCACCGTGTGCTCCCCCGCGAACAGCAGCCCGTACCCGAAGCCCAGCACGGGCTCGGCCAGGCGGTCGTAGTCCTGGCCACTGGCGCCCGGCGGCACAAAGGTGTAGCAGCCGCGGGCGAAGGGGTCGGAGCCCCAGCGGGTGACCCGGTGGCGCAGCGGGTCCGGCGCGGACGGGAAGTGCCGCCGCAGCTGCCGCATGGCGCGGGCCACCGCCTCGCTGTCGGGCAGCTTCTCCACCTGGGGAGGCGGGGAGCGGCCGTTCAGGCGGGGAGAATATATTACTCCCTCCGTTTTTTCCATGAAGATCCCAACTCTTCCGTTCACAAGGCCAATGTGGGTCAGCGGGTCAGTGGTTGGGGACTAGGGTGACGAAGCAAGAAGGGATCTTTACGGAAACAGAGCGAGCAATTTCATGCCTCGGGCGGGCATGCCTCCGGCGCGGTGTCCCTGTGGCAGTGTTGCGAGAACCGCACATTCCGCGCAGTTTCGTGCTGTGCGCTTGTGAGGACCAGTGACAGCAATGAATGAGCAAAATGAATGCAAAAAATATCCATGTAGTGAATGCAATGCTCTTTTGTGATCACGCAGTGCTGTGTTCCATTGCGTTCAATTGGTACCGAATCAGGAGATTCTGGCCATGTTTTCTGGTGCCATTTTTCATCTGTGTGTCTCCCGCCCGCTCTGCCACGCTCTTCGAGCTTTTGCCCATAGCGCGGTTTCCTGAAAACTCGGCGTGTGCGTTCTCGCAGTTTACAGAGTGCGTGCCACATACACTGAAAGTGTCACCGACATTAGAGACAGGCAAACGCCCTCAGCATGTTGGCTGTGCAAATGTGAATAACTAAATCAACAAGTAAATAGTAAATGTTTCAGTTAATAAATAGATAAACAAATAAATAGCTATAGAGTTCATAGAGAGCAACTAGGTCGATAGATAGTAAACAAACAGGCAAAGCATTGCATTGCCGAAAAATGGCGCATCAGCAACACAACGCGCCCCCGGTCGAGCGCCAATCGCGCATTCTCAGCAACAGCCCAAAGCTCCTCCCGCCGGCGCGCCCACCCACCGCCACGGCCTCGTTCCCGGACACCAGCCCCGTGAGGATGGGCCGCCCGCACACGCGCTGCATGCCCCAGAACATCGAGCAGAAGCCGGCCGCCTGGCCGCCATCCTCGGGCACGATGCCGAAGTAGTCCTGGTCCGCGTTCCAGAATGGCGCCTCGAACTCCATGACGACCTTGTTCAGGTTGCCGAAGCCCAGGTTGGAGATGGCGCCGCGTTTCCATCGGGGCAGCGGGGGCTGGAACTGGATGGCGTCGGCCTTCAGGACGCCCAGGGGGACGGTGATGAGGGCGACGCCAGCCTGGAAGGTTTTTCCTGACGCGCACCGCCGCGCTCAGTTCAGTCGCCCCGTCCACGGCGAAGGGTGATTTGCGGCAATTCGATTCTTCCCTAATTGCGTTCGTCGAATGCGGCGCGAAGGACTGTGTTTTGTAAAGATCAAGGGGCCTCACGGGGCGCCAGCGGAGCGCCGTCGGTATGGTGCACACGGCTCCATTGTCAGGCCCATTAATGAGTCCATCATTGGCGACCCGAATAATTCTGCATTCTGCGCCCCATTCCTATGCGCAAAGCGGGTAGTTCAGTACTCTGCGCCCATGCGCTTCGCCTGCAGCCTATGGGCAAGACGTCGCGCTCCTGCCGGGTCACTGTTTTGAGTGGAGCGTTGATGGGGCATCGCTGGAGTGCGTCCACTGCAACGGCGCCACAAAGGCGGCGACGATGCAGCTCATGAACTGCGGCGCAACGCAGCGCCAAGACCCCACTCATCCCGACATTCGTTGACGCTGTCTGATTGGAACAGGCGACAGACGGCATCCCTGTGTGTGGCAATTCTTTGTTGGTTAATGCTGATGGATGAGAACGCTGTTAATCACCGAATCTGACAGATCGTGGAGCAATTGAAGGAATCGCTCATTCACAATTGTTTGCCAATGAGCGGTGCGCCATGCTGTCTTCAGCTGCAATGTGTAGAGTCCCCTGATTGTGTTTATCCAGCCCAAGAACGTAAGAAATATAGGACTTAGGTAATGCGTGGTACCAGAAGAACTGTTTTCTATCCACATGCTACCTGAATTTTCATGCAGATACTGTACAACCTGTGATGCAAGCTCATTTGCTCACCGCATGCATTACCACAACATTTGCTGAGCTGGTGCCAAGTTCAAACCTTCGGCGCATCAGCATTCATTTCTGCCGGATATGCGGCAGTGACATAATCGCAGATACAGACCCAAACCCTGCCTGTACTGTTGACACCGCCCCCGAAAGAAAGGTCATGATGACATTATTTCATCGATTCCAACGCAATTTTCGCATCTCGCACAGAACCGCTGCGTCAAAAAAAATCGCCAAATTCGCTTAATCTTGTTTTCCCATCAGAAAGTTGACGCGAGGCAACATTCAACCGTGCAGAACGACAGTCCATACAGAAATCTGACGGCTACCTCCTGCCCATGACACGCAACATTTTCCGCATGAATCGACTGTCTTTCCGCCGGCGACCCCTCACCCGAACGCGTGGACACCTTGACCCCATGCTCTCCGTATTCCACGCCGCACACCACCTCTCCGTGCGTGACAGTGACGTCCTGGTCCAGCACGATGCCATTCACGGCCTGCACCAGCCCCCCCTTGGCCATGGCGTGCCGGCCCCCGAAGCCCCCATAAGCCTCATCTTGGTTCCAGTGCACCAGGGAGAGGTCGTCCAGGTTTGCGCCGCAGCCGTACTCCAAATGGGCCCGGTGCCACGACACCAGCGAGCGGTGGTGGGGCGTTATTGCAGCCGCCGCGCCGCCCTCCGTCGCTGGCGACGAGTGGCATCAAAACAACGGTTGAAAACAGAACCAGTTCTGAAACACTTTTTTTTCCAGTTTTTCTTAGAAAACCACTAGTCTCATCAACAATACTTCTAATACCACTGAGTAGCAATAGTACTGCCAAGTGAGAGCAATAGCTCTTTGCGAAGACAGTACCTTGTGCTCATCCATTTCTATTCTGTTTCAACGCGGTTCACAGGGTCGATGTACGATTTTCATCTTTTGTGCATGACTCAAATAGAGTAAATGGATGATGCTTTTGCTGGTGGCCACGGCCGCCCATGACTGCGTGGCTACAGGGCGTATGCTTGCCTCCACCCATTACTGTTCGGCCTACAGATCGGACAGAGCGACATGCGCACGCAAAGCTTCTAGGCACCTAAACCTCGCCATCGCTTCATCTGTGTGCTTAACGTTGCGGATGCAGCAGATGGGCAGCAAACAATCGGCCATTGCGTTCGCCTTCCCAGGGACAGCTCAGGAACTGTTCCGTGGCAGGGCGCCGCACACGCTGCCACCCGACGCCACAATCAGGCATGCCACGGAGAGACTGGCCATCTCGATTGCCAGGCACAAAATTTGGCGACGGTGTTGATGTCCTTGACGCGGTCGCGAACACAGCCAGCCATTTCCGGACATGAAGGTGATGAAGCTCATTTGCAACTACAGGGCTGTTTAGGCTTACCAGTTCACAACCCCTCTCTGACCTTCATACTCGTAAACGATAGGCATCAGACAAACCCCCTCCGGCCGGAATGGCACAAGGGTGGCAAAAGATACGCACAGCACGGCTGAAATGATGTAATCCACGGTCTCATCGCTCGCTGAACGCAATGACATGGCCAATTTGATGAGCACAGAAATTCTACACTATGCAACAGAGTATTTTATACCCAACATCGCCTCTAAGGTGCCAGGGCAGTGTTTTATCGTGTTTAAGTGACAAATGTAATCAAAGGATTTGAGCAACAAAATAAGAAGTATACGACACAATAATTCAGCATCTTCGGGTGGTTGGCTTGCTGCAAATGCGGTGCTGTATGTCAAGACCAGGACACCCACTTTTGCTGCCCTCTTCAGGTTTTGCAGCAACGCACGCCGCTTCCTTCAGTGCCGCGCCGTTATCCCCACCAGACGACGAGGGTGGGCAAGGACTTCGGGCACCTGGACAGCCATTGGGTGCCTTCTCATCCGGTTGCAGCAAATCGGCCGGCCCCATGCGACCACAGGGGGTGCCGCTCTTGGTGGTCGTGCTGGCGCCATTGCTGCCGAATTTGGATGTTTCATCCGCGGTCGCGACGGTGCCTTCATTCTCGGCATCCGGAACGCTGCATTGGCCCACTGATTGTCGCTCTTCCGATTCTGCACAAAACGGGGCGGTGGGGGGTTTAGGCATTTTGCTGGAATTGCGACGTGCACTGAAACAGGAATTCGCTGATTCGAAACTTGCCAACAATTGGAGCGCCCTCTCCGAACTCAATCTAGCCGAGCCTTTCATTTTGTGAGATGATGCTGCGGCCGCCATGCGCCAGGTTGGCTAGGCAGGCATGTAGCACATGTGAAACAGAGTGCATCCCCTGCGTGTCCACAATGTGACAAATTGGCAGAACAAGTTCGCCGCTGCAAGTCCACACACTCTTGGTGGCATCACAGCAGACCGTTCGTCGGCACCAGGAACGATGACAGCAGATGGGAAATCGAAACTCGGCTGGGCAACATTTACCGCCTGGAAGTGGCGCGCGGGGCTTGAGAGAAAGCAGAAACAACATTGTAATCCACGCCGACGAATGTTGAATGAGGGGCACATCTAGCAGCCTGGGCGACATACTTGAACCAGGGGCACCCAAACATCTTGCATGTGTGTAGGCCGTCGTGGCCTGCAATATTCATGGGCCCTTCTTTCATCAAAGGTGTGTTTACCGCAAGGCTTGAGCAGCATAATCTGGAGCGACCCCTTCAACGAGAACGGCCCCTCTTCGGTTTTTGGGGGGCGTCTGTGTGTTGGATACATTATGAGACCGGGAGGCACGCCATATTTTGCAGCCCAAGAGCACCCAACAGCAAAGGGCTCAAGCGACGCAAGGGGTTAAAGCAAGGCATGCGGGCGTTTGGTGCTGTTGAACAGGCTACCCGGTGTATCAAAGTGCCATGAATCAGTCAAGAGCCGGCAGACCTTCAAACTGGTCCACAGCCCTCGCAACCTTTCCCTGAATGGACGAGGGTGTTGCCCACATGAACACCACACGTGTGTTACCGCAAATGGTTCAATCCTTCCGCATCAAAAAGTTTTACCTTCACGCTTTTTGCTCTTCGTTTTTTTCAGAGCGTTGCTTAGTATTTCCTTAACCTGATTACGGAAGGACACGCACCACTGGAGTGGCTGGCCGGGTCACTCTCTCAGTCGAAGGTGGGCTGTCCCTTACTGTATTAATGCGGACAAAAAAACACTAGAATTGCACTTTGATAGATGAGAGGAATCCATACTTGTGCGTTGGTATTGTGCTCCCGGTGACAGAGTGTGAACTCGCTGCTGCTCAGCCCAATTACTGGGTCTACGAGCGGTGGCTTTGAAGGTATTATCCACCGCATATTGTGGGCAATGTTGGGACATTACTAATGTGGATTATGGAAGGCAGTCTAATCCTGACCTGTAAGCTTTTGGGACCAAACTCGGTCGAACGCCTCCCCAAGGCTCATGCGCTCCAGTTTCCTGTCGGTGGCTTTGCAACGGGATGCCTTTGAGGTCAGAATGAAGTCTCTGACGCCGTCCAGTATCTCATCAAACAGCCTGGTGAGCATTCGTAAGCTGTGTCATCCATCTGATACAGAAGTGAGCACAAAGAAGATGGCTCCCAAAAGCAGTTTTTGGTGTGCGAAATCTCCATCTGTGGCAAAGATGGCTGCAAGCCCAAACGGCTTGTGTGCAGTCCTGAGTTGCGATCGGTCAACTGCGGGATTGCAGCTTTCGACCAGGAAAGAACTTGCCACATGTGACGCAGCTGCAGATCAATGCTTGGATGCACTCGCCCATACATGCACATCTGCAATCACTATTTTACTCAAACCATACCACCTCCCAAACCTTCATCATCCTTCGGGTGTCTAGACATTGTTTTTTTGGTTTGCTGTTTCCATATCATTTCTTTTTGTCGATGCACGTCAACAAATGTAAGAAGGTGATTCGTGCATGCAAGCACAACACATAAAACATACTTCTCTGCTCCTATTCTTGTCAGAAATGGCCGCCAAGCGCAAAAACCATACAACACGTCCAATGTTCCTTTGAGCATTGGAGTGTTTGTTTCTGCGATCTGGTTTGGTAAATGCATCAAAATGTACAAGTGGCCTGAAGGCAGGCAACATTGACTTCATCCGCGGGGGGTGTATGGCTTCAAGGACATATTTGGAGATGCATCACCGCAGCACACAGACACAATACTCTCCTGTGTTGGCATCCAATGCCATGACACAGAGAACAGCTACATAGAAGCCACACCATGATTGACCAAGCTACAATTTTCTAAATTTCCACCTAAGAGTTACCAATCTTTTTAAACTGAGATACTACTACGTGTCCAATCAATGGCAACGCGGATGTGCTAGCACTGGGCGGCTCTTTCTCTTCAGGGTGAATGCATTCACACAAGCCATGACGGGTTGGAGTGGTGGGTGTGCACGCGAAACAAAACCTGCACCAAGCCACACACACGCACGCAAAACAAAAACAGCTCCACACCTTGCTGCCTGTGCATCGATGTCAAAGGAGGCAACATTCCCTGTGCCATCGTACAGTGGCAGGTCCTTGCCATTCAGCATGTGCAGCTCTACACCAAGCTGTCTGCACAAAGGCCCCAGCGCGTCCGGCTGCCTGCCGTTTGCAAGCTCTGCTCCTGTGATGATGGAGGCCCCAAGGTCCACCGGGACACTGAAGGTGTCCGTGTCTGTCCAGATGCGCCCGCCCACACGCTGCTGTGCCTCCAACACTGTCGGGTGGAGGCCTGCCTTCTGGAAAAGCAACATGCGGGACAAGGCAACGGGAATGTGATGCCGAGCAAGTTTCGTGTGGCGATATGTGTGTCTCAAAGAGGGGGACTGAATTGATACAGGGCTGTCCTCCATTAGAGCCAGTCGTGGACATTTGCCTGGCCAGTCCTTTGGTTGTAAATGGTCAATATCAATGACCAGCATCAGTGCTGCGAATTTCGGCAATGACAGTCATTATTTCATGAACAGTGCTTGTTCCTGAGTTGTTGGTCCTGTCTGGTAGGAAAGTCTGGAGAATGACGACAATAGGAACGGCATCCAAAACCCATTTCTATCTTGTTGCGCATGCATTCGAAGTTCCAACTTCCAAGCTACAGCAATACACTGAAACTTCTCGACTTGTGAAGTTCAATACTCCCTATGCACTTGAGTTTCTGGTTTTTCTGCATGTGCAGGGCAGCCCGAATCGTCAGGAAACTCCATTGGGATACGAGCATTGCCCTGCATCGCACCGATTGTGCCTAAACACTTAGTATTGACAGGTGCACACAAAAGATCTGTAATTTCCCCCATCAAAGCATTTCTGAAATAAAGTTGCCAAAAAAGTGTGAGCATTCTGCATGCACAGCAGAAGCATTGCAGGTCTGAAGGCAAACGACAGGAACCAGTTATGGTAAATCGCACAGCTGCAAGCCCGGAAAGCCTGCATTTGTGTAGAATCCCATGTTTTACATTCTTGCTGCCTTGGCACTGCCCAAGACATCGTCAATAGTGCAAATAGCACAGTGGTGATGCCACTACAGCAAATTGCCAAGCCAATGTCCCTGGTTCTCCGGAATCTTCACAATCGAGGTATGCTGTGCACTGCCTATCTGCAAACAGTCAGGCCAACACATGTTGGCGAGCAAGACATGCCTTCAAATGCAACACACAACTTTGCTCTTGCAAAGCTCCAGGACAAAGAGCAACATGTACCCAATTCAAGGTCACCTTAAGGCAAGCTGCCGCAGCAATACCCGCAGCTCCAGCCCCAACAATGATTACCCGCATGTCATCAATGTTTGAGGCGTGTGGAAGCAGTGGATACTGCCGCTCAAGGAGTTGCACATCTCTTTTTAATGAGCCTAAGTGTCCTGCCGTCAGCAACAACCAAGCAGCACACAGCACAGCTCAAACCTTCAGTGCACATCTGGTCTGCATTCCTGACAAAACGGCTTGCTGGGTTTGGATGAAAATTGATCGGTTGTTAAGAAGCCCACTTTCCATCAGAAGGTGGTTGTTACTGTAGGGACAAACGCCATCACAACCCAAATTCATCGTTGAAAGATCCCTTGACTAATGCCAAACCAGACCTGTGTGTCTGAACCTTCACCAGCCACATCAACTACTGTTTGACACGTCCTTACGTGGATCCACACAGCACAGTTATTTTCTCCATTCTTGTGAGCACTGAATGAGCCAGAACGTGCAGTTGCATACAACCCACCCACCGGCCCCTGAAAGCGGTGAACCAGCAAGAGAACAGCACAATTTATCCCATACGATACACAACCATGAAAACTGATGCACAGGACTGAATTCTTTGCGCAACATTCGCCTCACCTCCCCTCCCTCTGCGTGCCCTGCCACCTCGGCGGCCTCCCCGCCGACCACGCCCCATCCTGCCCCCCATACCCCCTCTACCCCCCTGTCTGAGCGCTTGACCAAGCACAGGGGTTTCGTCCTGGGGAGTCTGCTGCCCTTGTGGAGATGGCCCAACACGTTCGGTGGGGCTTGCTGGGACAGGTGCCCCTACGGGGCACCCATCCGCCATCACAGGAAGCCAGCAACTGTTCAGCACTGATGTTGCCAGTATCAGAAGGCCACCATTTCAACAACCTGACACCAAAAGATGTAAATCTTTATGCAGAACGTGGTGCAAAAAGCAAACCCGCTTACAAAATGCATTGCCAAAAAGCGCTGGCACTGTCATGTCTTGTCGTTGTGGACGCAATGTGGGTATCCAGAAAGTGGATGTGGCAAGGCATCAGCACATTTGGACAGACATCAAAGATAGCCCAGAAGAATGCGCCCCCTGTGGCCTTGGCTTAAGACCAGCGCTCTCCTACCACAGCAGCGTTCACAAGCCAGGTAGAAGGTGGAATATTGTACTTCTTTGGTGTACACCACCAGTGGTGAGGAGCGGTGACAGCAAAGTCAGGGGCCAGGACTTGGTATTGTGCACAGTGCCTACTGCCGTACAGTGGTTTCTCCGGCGGCTTGTCAAGCTGTCCAGGATGCACAGGAACAACAGCTGATGTGACTGTGCACTTTTGCATCGTGCATGTTGACTGACATCACCAGATATATGAAACACTTGGCTTTGCAGCATTTCAGAAATGTGCAAACAGTCACACCTGTCTGCCATTTGAGGGCCAGTCATTGACACATTTTGAGAATGCAAGAGTACGGATTGCACCAAGAACTGTTCGGTGTGGTGAATGAGCGGGTTCTAAGGACTTCCAATAGTTTGTTGCATAGTAAAGAAACAGCAAATTGAAATGCTGCCAGCTGTATTTCAAGAGAAGAAAGAGCAATCTAGCATGTCGATGTGAGCGATATGACTCAAGACTGTTTGTGTGCTAGTTGCACGGAAAAACGTAAGACTGCTTTGAAAACTGCCAGCATCTCTAAATTCTGCAGATGTGCTGGAGAAGCGCCTGTCAGCTTGGGACAGACGCCTGACTATCTGTCCTCATGGAGCAGCCCTTCAGAACTCAATCGGTGACCTTGCTGCACCACTTCAGGCAGTCATTCAAGTTTGGAAGGTTGGTTGTGCAGGTCAGAACAAATGTATGCCTACTTTCGCAAAAGAGAATACCTTTGGAACAAATGCAAGGCAAGGCCGAACAGCCACGAGCAAGCCCTGAATTGCTGATATTCTCGCAGTGGCAGCCACTGTATTCCTCGATCGGCTCCATCGAAAACCCACAACAAACAGGACCATCTGAAGTTGCTCAGGACCCTGCTCTAGACGCCACGATGTGCGCGATGGCGGTGTGGAGGCGCTGGCTGATCGCCTGTGTTTCTTGGATAGGAACCCACTGTCTGCCCCTGCCCCGCCCACCCACCCATCCCAAGCCAAAGGCCTGGACCAAGACCACCTGAATGTCCCCCATGTCCAGCCCAAAAGAAGCCATTCGACGGCTCAAAGCGACAGAAATGCGAAGAAAACACCCTCAAATGACCAACCAGAACTCGAACATCCATTCTCGACCAAGTGAACGGCACCATGCACCCCCTGAAAGTGCCCCAACCAGTCATCTCCACCAAGGCACACCGCCAGCATGCAGTGCCTCCAGCAGTAGCAGGGGCCTGTTGAGTTTTCCGATCCAGGCTGTCCTGAACGTGACAGCAAGGTTGTTGATGCAGATGGGAGCTGGCGGGTCGTGGTGGACCCAAAATTCAGGTAATGTGGACCATCGGGAGTCAGCCACACACATACCTGGTGATTGGGCCCGCCCCCTTCGATGTTTGTGCCGTGGGCAGCACCAAACGGCCCGGGCCAGCAGCAACGCCCCGGCGCCAGCCCACCAATGCCGCGGGCAGCAGTCTGTTGATTTGTTGGCCTGGATGATGGTGTGGCGGGTGGCGAATGTCGATGGCCACCAGAATTAGTAGTGCAGAATAACGCAAACTGGCATTGGGAAATGGGGCTGAAATGAGGCCAACATTGAGGGTCGTGCCTGCGCAGAGGGACAGGAGTCGCCGGCGAATTAGGGACTGTACCGGCATCGGCAACCAGTGGGTCATGCAATTGGCCAGCCGGCATGTCTGTTTTTGGGAATAAATTGTTGCGACCATGGCATTGTGGTGGTGCTGTCGTCTCGTCCAAGCTGTTGACACGGCCGTCGATTGGCAAATCGATTGTGTTCAAGCAGGGTTGCTGGCAGCGGCGGGCGAAAACTCGGTGCGCATGAATTGCTGGACCTTTAGTCAATTCAGTGGTTCCAGTGGGGGGTGTGGAGCGAACCGTTGGCATTTTTGTGAGCCTCCCAGAAGGGTATCGTCCAGTCCTCACGGAAGAAGTGTGACCCTCACGAAATTGAAATATAAGCAACTCCAACTCTGTTTGGTGACGAAATTTGCAGTGAAGTGTGTATCTGCTTCTGTCTTGGCGCACGAAAGATCAGATATTATAGGAAACACGGAGGCGGCAGTTGGGGCTCACAATTTGCGCAGCTGTGGCGATCGCACTATTCAGAGCAAACATTTCATTTTTTGGAAACGCAGCTCAGCGAGTTTTCTATAAACAGGAGCAGATTCGGAAATGGAACTGTTGATGAACGCCGTCAATAGCACGTTAGTGCATTATTTACAATTCGCTGGTGCAAAAACAAGGGTTTCAGTGCACAAACAACGAATAACGCTTTCGCAGAAAAGCTGGGAGCTGACAATTACCCCCTCTCCATGATATGCGATATTTCTTGAGTAGTTACTACAGCACGAAGCGCAATGAACGCATGCATTCAAGAGAATTGAATGGTGGCGCAACAGTGAATTGTTGTGTTCATGTCGAGCCTGGACCTTCGTTGAGAACACGTTGAGAACACGTTGAGAACACGGGATATTTGGGTTGCGCTGTTGTCGAGTGGGTTTGGTGTTCTGAGACATTTGCTGCCAATTTCATCAATGCATGCTCGATTCCGAACGCCATCGATCCTCAGCAATTCAAGACGGTTTGTGAGTCCCGGCAGGGACGACAGGTGATCGGCGAGGTGCCATATGATGTGCCATGCAGTAGCAGCTGTGGCAAGCATTGGCTGCTTTCTGGGGCGAAGAAGACAGCATGAGACCATCCCCGCCACAAGAAAAGCTGAATTCCTTGATTAAGTGATCTCACAAGTGGCGATGGTTAGGGAACAATCTTGATGTGAGTCGTTTCCATACCCAATGGAACTCGTATCCGAAAATGGCCCACATCATCAGACATGGAAAAAGCACGCCCTGGTTATATAAATTCCAGATATGAGATGTACATCATCTGGCTCCGAAGAATGTGGGGAATGACCAAAGGTTCAGAACTTCACTGCGCGAGCGTCCCGTCGAAAAGACACCCCGAATCTGCAAAACCGGCGACGGGTGTGAGAAGTAAACGACTGAGTGTCGAGGCGCTTATTTCAATTTTCCTTCTTCATATGTCGAAGCGCGGAGTTCCCTTGCCATTTGGATATCACCGTGGCGGTCCGGAACGCCGGCCACATGCCCATGGCCCTTCGGGATTCTTCCTTTGTGAAGTCATTCGACAGCTCCTCCTCCATAGCGCCGCCAATTTGGAAGCACGTGAAGGACATGAGAAGCATGTAGCGCACAGCGCTCCGGTTTGCCTTGTCCAGGCCGCTTTCATCTTCGCATCAAAGGCTTCCATTAGTGTCGGCTTGAGCCGTACAGTGAGCTCACTGTAAGCTTTCTCACCCGCACAGTGCAAGCACACGCACCAGAAACTTCCCCCGAGGCAGCTAGTGCTGTATATTTCCCAAGCAATGGCGCAAAGCTCGGCACCAGTGATTTCTTCAAAAGCAATTGCAATCGATGTGGGCCCCGTTACCCCAGCAGCGCTGCGCCTGCATTTTCGTGCCGCTTTCCCATGAATTACGTACTGCCAGACGCGTGAAGAAAACCATATCATAGGAGATCACAGCATATTCGATTGGGATCGGATTCAGTTTTCGGCTCTCACCGTCGCTTTTGAACCTCATTTGTTTGAGGCTACACCACTCATTTCCGATGCGATTCCACCTTCAGTTCTTTCCACATTTTTAAATTTTCTGGTAGAGAAGTTGAGAGACACACTTTAATATCAATTTAAATGCCGTATTTTAGACGTGGCCGCTCAGCTTTTTTTCTGTTATTTTCTGTCCGTATTTTTTTTCAAGACAAAAAATCCGTCCGTCACTTTTCTGTTGTTTTGCCGGGGCCGGTTTTCTGTTGCCGTTCATGCCACATCAGCTTCCAGTTTTTTGGCTCTGGAGCTGTCCGTCAAGGGGGTGTTTGCAGCCACCAATTTCTATAAAGATGTTTTTTTTTCCGTTGCCTTTCCTGGCATTCTGTTGCCATCCGTCATGGACTTTGAGATTTTGGAAGCTTGTCGCGAATAGAGGCATATCGAATCGCTGCCAGTACTTGGCTGGAGGCAGCACACACACAGAACACATTATCACGGCGTACTATAAATCATAAGTGCGGGCCCTTCCCAGCAGCGATCGCTGCCGGTACTTGGCTGGAGGCAGCACACACACAGAACACATCATCACAGCATACTATAAATCATAAGTGCGGGCCTTTCCTGGCAGCGATTGCCATCGATTTTTTATGGAATTCTGTCGACCTTTGTGGTCCGGTCAGCGGTTCTGTTGCGGGTGCCTATCATCCGTAGATGGCGGCGCGAATTCTGTAACACTTGGTTTCATTCTGTAAGGCTGTGTGGATTTTTGTAGTTGTCTATGCTGACGTCAGTATGGCCCTACCCGTTTCTGTAAAACGCTTTTTTTCTCTGTGGCTCCCTCATAAATTCTGTTGATTGTACAGAATTTTAACGGAGCCAAACAAATTTTGTTGGGGATGGACAGATGGGGCCACCTCTACCGTATTTACATTCTACCATACCATAATAGCATATTACCATATTTATATGCTCCCCCCATTCTGGCACTGGAAGATGTCTACATCATCTTCCAGTGTACGGCACAGAGTCTCACATGCACCTGCTTAGGAGGGTGTTGGCACTGTATGATCTGATCTCCTTCAGAGTGTAAACAAAATAGACAACGGTCC